ACAGCTGTATTGTTTTGAAAATGTCTCTCAACTGTCTCATTGCATTAGTCTTTGATTATATTTCGGCCCCGTTTGAAAACTGTGGCACCAGCTTGTTGTTAAATTAATGATTGACATTGACAGAGCTGGTTGGGTTGGGCTTACAGTATCCAAGCACTGGCAAAAAGTGTATGGAAAATGGAAGAATGGAATGGAGGTATACATTTGAGTGTGCCTGTGTATATCATCCATGTGTGCTATATATTAGTGTTAATTAAATAATGTGTTTTGTACCCAGATCACCATATATTCCTTTCAATATTAGTCTAAATACTAGAACTCGTGGCCATAAGTGGAAATTAGCGGGAGAACATTTTAAAACAAATTTGAGGAAGCACTTCTTTACACAGCGTGTAGTTAGAGTATGGAATAGTCTTCCTGCTAGTGTAGTGGAAGCTAAAACCCTGGGTTCCTTTAAATCAGAGCTAGATAAGATTTTAACAACTCTGAGCTATTAGTTAAGTTCTCCCCAAACGAGCTTGATGGGCCGAATGGCCTCCTCTCGTTTATAAATTTCCTATGTTCTTATGTTCTTAACCACTTGCCCTGTGATATACTGTATCCTGGGTATGACATTAAACTGCATCCGGCCCTGCAAGCAGTCGTCCAACTTGCAAGAAAACAAATTTTTTGGGGGTTGGTGGCGGGATTGGCACTCCAGCCACCGTAAAACAACTGCTCAGTACAAACAAGCATTATACTGTACACTTCTGCTCTCCGCGGGAGTAGCTCTGCTGTAGCCACCCGCAGGAGGGCTGCAGGCACCATGAAGGGGATGGTGGAAAGCCTTTGGAAGCCTCATCCCTGGATGAGCCGAAACCATCAGAGAGCTAATAGGGTCAGGCCTGTTGGGGATCGGGGCTGGTGTGGTGCTGAGGCGTCGCCTGCTGTATGGCGGCACTTGGGTCCCAGTTTGAGGCGGCCCATCCAGGCAGGTGCACGGAACATCTTGGTTCTCCGGCAAGATGACCATCTTCCTCTGCTGTCGGGGGAGCTTCATAAACGTGTTTCGGTGGCAGCACTCTCTGAAGTACGCAGACCAGGGAGTGGTCAGACCACTGTAGGTGGGTATACCTACTTTTGGTCTGGTCAGTCTGATGGCTGCCATACTCAGAGAGCTGCTGTTGATGTAGCGGATCGGCTCCTTCCGATGGTGTCTGACGTGACGTCCTTTCAACGAGCGTATTATGAGACTCAGGCTAAAGCACTCCTTGGGTGTCTTGTCTGTTGTCTCAGTGTATGCTCTGACCGCGGTGAGGGATGTCTCGTTGAGGGAGACATTTTACTTGCAACTTTGCTCAGTGGTTGAAGGGAGCCCACGAGGTGACATTCCTCTGGTCATGGGTGACTTCAATGCGACCACTTGCACTGACAGGGCTGGCTATGAGGATTGTGATGGTCCCCATGGGTCTGGAGGCCGAGATGAAAGCAGCTCCATGTTCCCGTGACTTTGCGAAAGGTCAGGGGCTGCGGGTCACTGGATCCTGGTTCCAATGCCCTGAGCCGCATCACTGGACTTGGTGCTCCAATACTGGTAGTGCGGCAAAGGAGATCGATCACATACTCGTGGGCAGACACTGGAGACTCCTGACACACCATCTGTAGTCTAGTGACCCACGTCTTGCTTACAGAGGAATCGAAGCATTACGCACATCTGAATCTGTTCCTCGGAGACTTGCAGTCAGGGCGAGTGATGGAACGGTCCTTACGGATGACACTACAGTTGTGACCCGCTGGGCTGGCTACTTTGAGCAGTTGTTTAAAGCTGACCCTCCAGCTAGGATGTTGAACATCTCTGGGTCCACAGTTCTCGAAGTTGACCCTCCAATCAGCTGTGAATGACCAAATCTCATTGAGATTGCATGGGTGGTGAATCAGCTGAGGGTAGGGAAGGCTACAGGGATCTGTGATATCTGGGGTGAACTTCTCCAGGCTGATGGTAAGGCTGTCCTCCTGGCATCTTTCCTTCCATTTGGGAGTCAGGCATCATCCCAACTGACTGGAAAACGGGATTTGTAATCCCTATCTGGAAAGGGAAGGGTGATCGCCTGGATTGAGGCAACTACAGGGGGATAAAACTATTTTCAGTGCCGGGTAAGGTCCTTACTAGGGTCATCCTTAACATGATCCATGATCATTTGCTTGTCTGTCAGCGACTGAAGCAGTCTGGTTTTATACCTAAGAAGTTTACCATCGACTGTATCCTTGCACTGAGGGTTCTCATTGAATGCAAGCATGAATATCGGCAGAGGTTCTTTGCCACCTTTGTCGATTTGTAGCCAGTTAAGGACAGAGCAAGCTTCCTCGGCAGGAGATGCTCCGGCCCACGTGGTTCCTGTACTGGCGGTTCCTGCGCTGGCCCCCGTAGTGCCTCTCCCGGTTCCTGATCCCCCGGACTCCCATCCTCGAGGAGGTCCCTGATTCCCTGGTACCTGCTTCTGCCCTAATGAACCCCTCCAGTGGGTCGCCCCAGCCACCACCCGAGCATGGTAGATCCTGGCTTGGTCCCCATCTCTTAGTGTCCCAGAGGGGGGACCTGCCCGCCCAGCCTTCTGGCTCGCCTTCGGTCCCCCTGGCTTTGGCTCGGCGGTCACCTGCAGTCTCCCTGGCTCCTGCTCGGTGGTCACCTGTACCTTCGCCAGCTGTGGCTGCGTCTTCGCCTGCCGTGGCTTCTGCCTTCACCTCCCTCCTTGCCTCCTCCAGCAGTCCTTCCACCTTCCTCCTCGCCCCTTTCGGCATCCCCTCTGGGTCCTGGCTCGCGGTTGCCGAGGGTCCCTCCTGCTCTGGCCTCGCGGTTGCCTGTGGCCCCTGCGGCTCCCTCCTCCCTACCTTGTGTGGAATCCCAATGTCATCAGCTGTTTCAAGTTGTTTCCCGTCCTTAGTCCTGTATATTTAAGTCCGCGTTGAAGTCTGTTTCCCCAGTCCGGTCATTGGCGTTATGTGCATGTCTCCTGATCATGCCTTCCCTGTTATTAAACCCAATATTCTCCCGACTCCTTGGCTCCTGCTCCTCTGTCTCCACTGTGTGCCCCATGCAAACGTAACAGTAGTTGGATGTCTGAATAGCTAGCAGCAAATACTTTGTGAAATAGTTTAGGGATTTGTAGCCAGGTAATTTAAAATATGACCCAGAACATGCCCGCTTCAACCTTTTCTGGGTAAAAACATTTCCTGCATTACATAGGAATTCTTTTTATAATCCAGCTATGTGTTTACCATGCTTCAAGCTGATGGATATTTGTTTATGATGAATTGTACATATTCCAAGTGCATTTCAGCAGGCAAACATGAAATTCAGCACCTCCATGGGCACATGGTTACTGACAGAATCCCTGGAAGAGAGTGGACTGGGAAGATAACCACGCTCTCTATCCCAGCAGCCTGCAAGCACAGGACAGATTACAGAAGGAACTCCAGTTAGTCCTGTGTCTAAACTCAGGAGGTGATATTTTCCTACCCTAAAATACCCCTGCTGAAATACAGACAACACTGGGGCAGCAATTTTCTAAAAACCATGGAAAAGTGACTATTTACAAGAAATGTCATACCCAAAAACATGATACAAGTATACAAAAGTACATCCCTGCTAAAACATATCAGAATACAGCATAATATTCAGAGATACGAGATACAGTTTTTAAAAGGCAGTTAAGAGGACACAAACATGGTTTATATAGTTCTTCATTTTTCAAGAAAACATGATATAAACAAAATTATATATAAACACGCCCATATTTTTCTTTTAAGGTCAGACGCATTTAACACGCAGATCTGATAAGCGTCTGCAAGAAGGGGAAACTGAGACATTACTTTTATTTTGGCGGTCATCTGGAAACAAACGTAGGCAGGCTGCTCTTATCTAACAGAAGTAAACAACATACGAGCAGTTGTCATGACAAAACAATAAAGGCTAACCCTTTTTTTCTAAATACCATCTGTTGCTGTTTTTTTTCAATGAAGGCACTTTAGCTATAATTAGTGTCTTGAAATTTAAATAAAAGCTTAGAAATAAAGTTTTGACCTTTCAGCAAGGTTTTTTAGTAATATGTGAATTTAGATACTTTTAATATTTTAAAATCTTTAAATATTATATAGGTATACGTATTTATTTGCGCCCATAGATTCTGGGATAGAGTCCAGGCCCTTGCAACCCCACATAAGACACATAGGTACAGAAAAGAGATGAATGGATGTATTGGTTAAGAAAATGCATTTATTTTTACATTATGGTAATGCTTTATATTAACTGCACCTTCATAATGCATTCATAGAACGTTTATAAGCCGCATCTAAGTATACATAACATCCTAACATACCATACCAGTTTCAATATACATTAATAATAAACATTACGAGATAATAATATTTTTATCACATAATGTTTGTTATTAATGTATATTAAAGCTATTAAGGTATGTTAAGATGTTAAGGTATACTTACATGCTGCTTATGAATGATCTACGAATGCATTATAACAAGGTGGAGTTAATGCAAAGCGTTACCCGTTGTAAGATAAACATTGAGTAAGTTTTTTAACTCTTTTTGAGGTAATGCTGAATCTGAATGTTCACAACGGGCATATCTCTGTCTGAGTTGTCAACATAGAAATAAGGATGGAGGCGTTTGGAAAAAAAAACACCTAATAAACCACGTGACACAAACCATACAAAAATGCTTATGGAAATATGTGGTTAAAGGGGGATTACCAAAGATTTTCCACATATCGACAGGAAATTGCGTTACATATCGAAACAACACAGAAGTGGCAATTTGTTTTATAAAAGAAAAAAAAAACAAATCTTAACGTTTCATTACAGTTTCCAGTCAGTTTACTTTAGGTGAAGGTATGTGGTCAGCAGATTGTAAGTGTTTAGCTTTAGCTGGTTTCCAACACCTGCTGTGAGTATTGCTGTCATTTAAATCCATACTAAAAAACCGTCATATTTATATTCAGTGTGGGGTGACTATCTGCCCTTTTCCAGGTATGCTGCCCCCCCGACCAAACTCCCATGATTCTTTGCAGGGAATTCTGCATGATCGCTGAACACGTAACTAAAATTCGAAAAGGACAGGTTAAGGGATAAAACAAAAGCATTATTATTATTACTCTTAAAAACAATAAGTTTATCATTTCTGCCAGTGAATACATTTTTAAAAATCAGGCGTATTGCTATTTAAAGGCATCGTAAATGAATTCACGAATCATCAAGATAAAAATAAATGTTGAGATGAAAAGTTTTCAGAGCGCAAGTATAACTATGAAATGATGTGGTGAGATACATTCTGTGAACTTCAGGACGAAACGTAACGCTAATGTGCAGACATTAAAAACGAATATGCAGGAATGGCACTGCTTTTTAAGGCGGTCATTAGTGAGGGTACAGGCTTGCTGCTCCATTTCACCAAAATAGTACTAAATGAAGAATTAACATAAGCTTGACCTCGTACTGGATAAAGCAGCGAAGGAGATGTAAGGCTGGGTGGATGAGCTTAAATAAGAGTTTCGGCCACGGTGCATATACATATAACATTGTGATATTAATCAAAAGCCATAACTGCATTTGACCATGATGTCAATTTAAACTACTCCCTAATACTGCTGGGCCAATGCTGTATTAACATACCTACCCACCCTCTTCTTTGCTTCGTCAGTGCTGCTTGTTTCCCAGTCACCCCCTCCCTCAGCTACTGTTTGGTACCTTCTGTCAGGCTCCAGGCTGTTTGTTTCCCTCGCATACATCCCACCTCCAGCACTAGGTTGGTACATTCCTCTCAGTGAGTTGCAGTCATAGCCTCTAGGTTCTGGCCTTGCTGCTGGGCAGCTTCTTCAACTGTTTTTTCAACACCTTAATTCTTCCTCATTATGACCTTATTGATAAATGTCGCTTAAACATCAGAGTCAACAATGACATTGTCCAAACAATATTTTAATAAAGTGAAATCACACTAAAGAATGAAATATATTACCAGCTTGTATCTGTTCATTACTTATTCATGATAAACACATTGTACGTATGTACTGCAAGAGCAGTTGATTTTTGAGCATATCTGTGCAGGTGAGAAAGTCACAGTGTGTCTGTTGTGTTGTTCTTGAAAAGTCATCAAGCCTGTGGATTAATGTCTATTATTGCTTTGTTATTGTTACATTGCTGCAAGGCAACACAAATAGAGACACAAGACATGGATAATATCTTATATTATCTATAAGATAATATATCTGATTTTAATTGCTGGTGATCAGCTCCTCCTTTGATCTTTGGTCAAAACAAAGCTTAATATGTTAACACTTTCTTTGAATACCATATCTATAAGAATCTATGAACACATTCATAACACATTATAATGCGTTCATAAAGCATTATACACACGGCTATAAATATTTTTAAAAAGGCATAACACATTATTAGCCATGTTTATTATAAATTATGAATGCTATATGAAGCTATAATAGTCTATAGACGGTGGGGTGGTGAAGATATATATACACAATGATCTCTGATCTGTGTGACTGCAGTAAAAATATAGTAATATAGAACACACTCTTCTTACGTGCTAATGACTGAAACCTAAAAAACAACAAAAGCAGTACAGATATGGTAAAGCTACACCAAATGAGCCAAAAAGGGACTTTGATAACTAGAAGGTGAAACCCATTTCTTGTCAAAACCACCTACATATTTCCTGTTCTATTTCTACCACAGAACCAAGGTTGCAACTGACTCTGCCAGAGGACTGGTGGAGACCAAAGCCAAAGGTTTGGGGTGACCTTCCGCTCTCAAGCTGGGCTGGTGTCAGCCACCCCTCTGTTGTGTCACGTGCCACATGTCTGAACGTTGACACAGAAACCAGGACTAGTTGGTTACATAACCACAACTGAGAAGCAGGAGGCACAACACAGGTACTTTACAGTAAATGTGTGACTTCTGCACGTTGCACATGCACACTTAGGTACAGGAGGTGATAAGGGTGAAAGCGGCTTTCTCACCCAGTCTATAAGCTACTGGCGTTAAACCCAAGGCCCTATGGGGCCTTCTATGTACCATGGCATGAGGGTGTAACTGATCTCTGTAAAACAATAGTGCAAATACTTTTTTAGTGTTTTGTTAAAAATGTAATTACTCCACATATCATGCAGCTGTCTTCACCTCAGTTTGTGGAAACCCTCCCTATAAAATTGACTTGTTTTTACAGTACTAGTCAAAATTTGTACACACCTAGCAGTAGAAAGGTTTATTTGTATGATTCTGTACATTTTAGAATAATTTGTATTTAAAACTAAAAAACAACATACATGGAATTATATCCTGAATAAAAATATATTAAAAATAAATTGTTGCGGGTGGGGGCAGTTCTGTGCATTAGGATGCAGAAGGTGGCCGGTTCAAATCCCTGATTCGGCAGAGTGACCCCACTTTCGGGCTCTTCAGGAAGGCCCTTAATCCCAGTTGCTCCAGGGACTGGCTGACCCTACTGTCTCCTCTAAGCTAGTTCCATGAGGTGGCCTCCTGAGATGCTTTCCCAGCTGTCCTGAAGGAGGTCCCACATATATGCTGATCTCTCATTGGCCGCTTTTCCTTCACTCTCTGGTCACACTCCTCCAAGACCGTTTCTAATGTGTTTAGCTGAGGTGGCCAAGTTATATGATGTGACACACTATCACTCTGTTAATTATGTAATCTTTGTGAACTACTGAAGGAACTACTGAAGGAACAAATAATGAAAAACACGTGAAATACTCATGCTTGTTCATCATTAATGAATCGTGATGCTTTTATCTCAAGTCGCTACTGTATTTGTTTATGATTTGTGGTTCTGTAGTAACTGAGTTACTACTAAGTATTTGTGACCCTTCAAGCATTACCTAGAACGTTAAACAATTCTTTTTGTTTGTTTCTCACCTGTGAAATGTTCTCCAAACTGGCATAAGTTTGAACTGTTTTTGCATACATTTTTCCTGGATAAGTCAGTTGAATTTCTTCCTATAACAAGTTTTCTACTTTTGTGTCTACTTTTACATGGACATTTCAGGTTACCCATGGGATTTCATTTTACTCTTGTAGTCACAGTGCTGAGAAAAAAACCTCTATTATTTTACAATATTTGGGAAGTTTCACCCATCTGAGAACAAAGATGGCAGACATTGGTATCTCAGCCAACCAGAACTTTAATTAATGTTTGATTGACTGGTAGAATACCTGGTGAGGTCGCTTAATGTAAGGCAATTAAGAACTGGAGTTAGAGGAGATGGCAGAAATGAGGCTTCTTCATTGGGTTAAAACAGGTAGGTTTTTCTGTCGTGACTAGATGTAGAGTGAAAACTGGTTTACTCCACTTCTCTGGAGGACTATGGGTGTCTAATTTTAGAACATGGAATGCAAGCTTGGTTTTTGATTGTTAATCATACATCTTGCAGTTCATTCAGATGTACACTTGGAAAAGACGATAAACTATACGTTATAACAAGGTACTGGAAAGTAAGTTCTAATCTTCAGAGAATAATAGATTGAAAAGTAACATTAAACAGAAACTAGTCAGCTTTTCACCAATCAAAATAAGCCTGAAACATCTTGAGAAAAATCTACCATCAATGTTAGCAAAATTCCACCAAACTTTCTCTTCTGTTGTTTCCGAGACACTCTATTTCACATACCTCAAGAGGTGCGCAAGTGTGACTTTCTCATGATTTGTGTCATATCATGGAGAGTCACATTCCAGCCTCAGATTTTAAAATAATGATCTGTTTTCCAATTTAACACAGGGAGAGATGGCAGCTGCACATGAATAAAACATAAAAAAGACACGGTTTCTCTCTTTTGAATTTGAGCACAATAGATGTATGAATTCTCCTCTGATGTCACAGTTGCTCTGTGCATCATAGCAGAATGCCTCAATCCTTCATTTTATATACCTTATATTCAACATAAATGAAAGCCATGCATCACTATAGCAGGCATTATCCTCTTGTTATAAACAGGCATCTATTACAAGATAGAAAATCACAATAAGTTAATACTCACAGCATAGTTTTTCTATATAATAGGCAGATAAGCTTAATTTAAGATTGTGGTTAAGGCATCAGTTACTCCTAAAGAATGCTTGTTTTGCACAGATATGGTGTGACCAGAGTTTCACTCAGTTTCAACAGGCACCGACTAACACTGTTAATACCAGCAGATGATATTTTTGGCAATGAATATAGTCCCAATTTTTCCCCCCCAAAATAAAAAGAATATTTCCATAGTTGTCAGGTTTGGAAATAATATAGGTAACATAACATGTCATTTTATGTGATTTTACAACAGCTATAGATTAGAGAGTGATAGATAAGAGATATGTTATTTCTAATAAATATATATTTCAGAGAAGTGCAGTGTATCAGCTTGAGAACATGTATATAAAATGGCCACTGTGCAGATATACAGTACAGGAAAAACATCTACAAGCCAACCACAGTAAACTCACCTTTTGGTAAAATATATATAATATGTAAGTGAAAATGAATCAGATAGGGTATTTTGGGAAACTAACATTTACCACTGAATTCCATAGAGAGAGACTGTCTTTGACCTGCATCAAGAACACAAGTGGAAGCTAATCTTGATACGGCAGCCTGACGGGTGCCGAAAGGAGTCAGTGATTGTCTCGCTTTCTTCTGAAGAAGGCCGAAAACTGGTGCATGGGGGCGGGGCAAACAATGGGACATTACAATTAAAGCTCAATCCACACAGATGGAAACAAGGCAGAGATGAATCGCGAAACCTGCAAAGCACTACATAGCACCATAAAGGATTGCTGTGTCCACATGTATCGTGTGATAGTCTGAGGTATGTGACCTTCACTGTCCATTCAAATGGCTTTGAGCAAGCAGGGAGACTTTCTTGTTAGCATTTAGAATTACTGACATTTTCGTCGTAGGTAATCAAAACAATTCTTCCTTTTTTATACCTTATTTTTATGCCCTTAATGATGAATACCTATTTAATAAAAATTAGAATCCATATAGTAGCATAAAAATAGGACCCACTAATTCATTTCTGTGTTCTAGCTCACACATTCCATACTCAGCAGATCTTACCTTTCACAATGATACATTCGGGATTACAGTACCACGTATGAATTTCCCTCTAGGCTTTAACATTAAAGGGGTACAGTCCTATTACCTCATCACTGAACATGGACCTGTCCCTTCCAGAGGGCTGCAGTGCAAGTAACTCTCACAATAGATTCTGAGGGTTATTTTTTTAGCATTATTAATGACCCCGGAAGTACTGATGCTCCATCACTGTTTTTGTGTAAGTTTAAGCATAGTGACGACCATTCCTGCTTCCAATACTGTACCTGTAAGAGTATCTGCATCCCTATAAATGTACAAGCAATTTACAAGCAGGTAAAATAACTAAACTGGTCTGGGTTACGAAGATGCGAAACATCAGACATGTCGAAATGCCAAAACACTGTCGCCAGGGCTCAACATTGCCTGAAACGTGTAAACGTGAGTCACATTGTCAGCATTATCATTTACTATAAGTGATGTGTTTAAATAAAAACAAGACACAATCCACTTTAAACATTTTATTACAGACAAATGAAAAAAAGAAGCATTGTGACACAAAATGAATTTGCCGGCACAAAAGGAACAAACCAGCATGAAAAGATGTAAAAATAATCATTAATTATAATGACAATAAAACAAATAATAAAAAAAACATAATGATGCACCTTGATAAAACAAGCCAAAGTTACTTTATATCGTTCATAAATAGATAGGAAACCAGTCAATAAAATTAAATAAGAAGAGGGAATATTGCGGAAAAGCAACTGTAATGCGACAGTTAATAGATAAATCCGCTTCTCATCACTGGCTTTACAAAGAGACATTTTGATTTGGCAGGTTTGTACACGTGTGAGATGCCTTCCCCCCGTGTCCATTATTTTGAACTTAAATGTTTGCTACAGTGTATAATCAAATGTACGGCATAAAAACTAAATACATTTTTTTTTCCCACAAAAAATTATAAAGATGAGTTCAACACAATTCTAAAACACCTAGTAAAACTACTGTAAAACTATAAACGCACTGTCATGTTTATCTTTAATAACATTTCACATCTAGCTTTTATTTTTTTCCTATTCACCTGTACAAGTTATGTCGGGGATGGGGAGATGATAAAGAAAGTTAAGAGAAATAAAAATTAACTTGGTACAGAGCCTCCACTCTCCACAGACCTGCCGAGTCATGTGGTCTAAGAAAAAAAAGGCCGGTCTCTTCCCCAGATCCTTTCACGTCTGGCGGGACACTAAATCTTAGTCCTTATATCCGTTTTACTGGAGAGACACACCCAGAGAGCACAGTTTTAATTCAAGATTTAGTGTGTGAAATCCTTCATCGAGTCCACCTGCACAAGTTCAAATTCACAAAACATCATTTTTAAATATGAGCTGAGGAATCGCAGCTGGTGCTAAAAGTACAGAGATGGACCCGAGATTCTCAATTCCATCCTGCGAAAGTGATATTTACAATCACACCGTGCGAGATTGGCTGGTTTAACCTTACCAGATGTCTTGTCATACAAGAGGAAAAACCCGCATTTCTGTTTTCTCATCCTCACTGTAAGGTTGGCGACGAATCGACCCTCAGATTTGCTCCCTACAGGTATTGTCCATGGGTTAGCTTGTGGCAAGCAAGCAAGACACAGATAAAACAAGAAATCCTAAAAAAAAATTAAAAGCAATCAAGAAGACTCTTTCTTCATATATTAAAGCTGAATTACCCCTGAAAAAATCTGCCCATGTTTTTTTTATTTTTTATTTCATATTAAGTTTTACTTAAAGATACCAAGAGTGCTGTGTTGGACCTGGCTTAGGTCTGCGCATTCTAAGTGCTTGGCAAAAAAAAGAGGTTCTCTCGGAGTCTTCAGGACTTGCACAAAATCCTTGAATGTAAATAGAAAAAGAAAAAAAAAAAATCAACAAAAATAGAAGTGAAATCGGCGGCGGTTGGGCTTCCCGGTGTCTTTCCTCCAGCTTCAAGTGAGGTAGAGAGGCTTGTCCCTCGCTATCATGCTACTGCTGAAACAGAGCAAAGACAGGTGGTGTGAGCGTGCTGCAGTCACTGGGCGCGCTTGTAAAATGACAACTTCTAATTATTAACTAAGACTTAATCAAAGACATAATACGTCCACTGTACTTCTTTTTCCTGGTCACATACCATCACTCACGCCTTCTTTTTTTGTAGTGGGTCATGTGGACACTTTCAGAAATCTAAAGTATAAGGTGATAGCACAGTGACTTTTTGTTGTGCTGTCCTTTGGGAGATGGAGATTAGTTGTGAGTGCAGTTATTTTCGAGGTGGCGCAGTGGCCAGCACTGCTTCTATGCCCCGCCAGCATTTGGGGTTCAAACCCCACCTCCGCGTGGGTGGGTGTGGAGTACCCAATTGACTGGCCGGTCTAAGTAAGTGTATGAGTATATATGGGACCAGCATGCCATTGATGGTGCTTAGGATAAGCTCCAGGCACCTGTAACCCTGAGTGGGACAATAATTTGTTTTTGTACAGCCAGTAAACACGCAGGATTAACTTGATTTAAAACAAATTACTTGACCTGTAAACACACAACACCAATGACCAGTGGTTATTAATAACTGTTTACCTTTAGATTCATTTGACCAAGAATACCAACACAGACTAATATCTACTGATTTTCAGGCCATACCGGAAATATAATGGAAGCATCAATAAAAAAACTAATAAAAGCAACAAAAATGTTTATGAAGCATAAAATCTGTCACATGATAAAGAATGAGATGTTTTCTCAATATAGCTCAAATCTTAATAAATGCTCCATGCCACTGGATGTGAAAAATTACCGATTTGTTGCAAATTAACTTTATGATTTTTAATATTTGTTTGTTATTGCCAGAGACCCATTATTTACAAAAACAAATTTATACCACTGCTGTTGTCAATGTATCTTGCCAAGAACGTGTATAAGACAAACTTAACCAAAAGCAAATGGAGAATCGTCTCGCCACCAGCCTTCCAAGAGAGAAATAAGGCCCCAATAATGCTTAATGAGCAGGGAATAGATTGCCCTGTTTTTAAAAAATGACAATTACGAACAAAATGGAAGTTGGCTTTGACCTTGGATTACCTGTAAGAGAGCGAGGTGAGTGTCAGTCCATGTTTTTTAAGGAGTTGTTTTCACCCAAGTTTACTTGTGATTACTTCTGTCTTCCTTGTTAATTCTCTTACATTTATATGCAAAATATGCAATTATTACAGATGGATTAAATTCAAATTTCAGCCTTTTCACAGATTTTCTTTTTTTTTTTTCGTAAATGTGGGACAGCTTGCTGAATACCACTGCCGTGCATGTCTATTATTTAATGCCTATGTGGTGGTTTTTCCTGCCACGTTGCAACCGTAAAATGTATGCACACATTATTCGTCATTAAACCACACATCGTGTTCTATAATTTTGTTCAACTAAAATAATCACGGCACTTGTGTTTAAAATCAAAAGCTAACAACCAATTGAGCACTTTCACTCCTTCAAAACACATAATCCTAAAGACTGGTTTGTGCATAATTATATCTATATTATGAAACACACTAAAAGTATTCATGCATAAACTTCGGCAAAGTTCTGTTACAATCTCAGGATTTCAGAAGCGGCGTGGCGATGCTGGACAGCTCAATGTCTTGTGCTTCTTCCATTCGCTCCGTTATTGTGGGAGTTCGACTTCACAGCCATCAATAGTTTGGCACCCGGCGTCTCCTTTAGCAACTGCCTTTAAAGCAGCCAGCAATTTAGCTAAATAATAATGTGACCTTTGCTCTGAGAAACAAAATTAACGAGCTCCTGCACCTTAAGTATATCTGACGTGTAAATAGGGCAGCAGGCAATATTCTGGTTGACAAGGACTTACGTCCTGTTCACACTCAAAGAAAGAACTTGCTGATGCACCCTTGAGAAGGACACCTCATCTGAATTGGCCATTAAAAGATCTATTTTTATAAATTGGTAAAATTGAACCTGTCCATTTATTGTCTTTTCTTATAGAAATATAGATGTATCTTTCTTTAACACATTCCATTTCCATGTTATTAAATGTCACAGTACAGGAGAGCTAGCTTTTCCATTGAGGAACAATGCAGGCACCTCAATTGGTTCCCTTTTCATAACTGGTTAGTTACAGGTGCAATACAATCGACAGGTCTGTAGAGGGCACTTACGTGCTGGCCAGCCACGACCAGCCATCCCCCTTAAACCTGTGCAGCCTCCGGTCACCATGGCCGAGAGTCAAAGCTCAGTCTGAGCTACAAAATCTAAACCACTCTTGGGAAAAGCCAATTAAGAATTCAGGGTTTTACAGCCGATGTAGGGTGAAGTGTAGAGTTTTATGTTCTCTCTCGCAACGATAAGCTGTATTTGATGGATGCTTTACCTGCAGTGGCTTCCTCCGCAATCCCGATTGCAGTACTCGTTGTCCCACTCAGGATTTTGCCCCCCCACGGGGTTGGGTGCCCCCGGAGACTGAGAGCCAACGCTGCTCGGATACTCTGACTGGATATGTGAGAAGCCCTGCCGGAAATGAAGAGTATATCCCTGAACATAACATCACATTCTCTTCCTTCAGCCATGTTCTGGACCTCTTCACATCTGCAAAGGAAGAGGCACCAAAACAAGACCTTCTCATATGCAACACCACCTATTTACGTGACCTCTAAAAATACCCACAATAAAAAAAGATAACAGAGAGTGAATCAGCTCTCCCCTGATTATTCCTGTAGTTAATAGCCATTAAAACAAAAAATTATGAATGTGGCATATTAATATAAAAAAGTACAACACGAAAGGTTGAGCCTTCCGTCGGGATAGGTTTATCCACATGGTTGTGGCCATTAGTATTTCTAAATTATTTAGATAATTCTTTCTGTTCAATGGAAACTGCTCAATTTCCCAGCTCTGTAACCATATTAATAATACCCTACATGGTACTTAGTTTTAATATTAGTCTTTGTATTTATATTCTGTTCTAAATAAACCTAAACAAATCAGAACAGAAATTTCCACACTGTCTCTTTTCCTCATACCATGGCTGAATCCAGTATTTCAGTTAAAGATTTGTGCTGCTTGTCTCTTAACATGTTACAGTTTAATAAACCTAGGATACTACTACATTACCTTACCTGCCACACATGAACACCAAGTACCCTATATAGGGTGACCACAAAATCAATTGTCTGACACTGTGAGCCAGGACAGGGTTTGTAAACTACCGTTTCAATTAAAAGGAACCGTATTTCACTTAAGCACTGAGTCCTTGCTGTGTGCTGATTTTTCAGTCTCCTATATAATCATGCATGTGTCACTAATGTTAATGTGAAACAGCTGGATCAGTCTTTCAATCAAGGAAACAAACCAGTAAAAGCACAAGAACGGAACAATTTTTCCAAGCAAGGAAGCCTTTCGATTTTAAAGTAGTTTGTAAAACCTGAAGTGTCTCATAGTGCCCCCCCCCCCGACATGGATTAGATGATCACCCAAGCCCTATAGCTGGAAGTGATGGTTACAGTAAATCTCCCCTTTTAATAATCTTCAGTTTTTTGTACCTATTACAATCTCTACAATAAAGCAGGTTGTATCTTGTGAATAACAGGCCTCTTATCCTTTAGAACAGCTGAGGAAGTAATATCACAGCCTTGGAATTTATTTGTTTCAAGATCAATAAGGATCACACACCAAATGGTCTGCAGAAACACGTGGCATTTCATTAGTGTCCTGTTCTATAATATGCCTTCTTAATCTAACACTTTAAATGACATCTTACTACTGTGAAAAAAAAGCTCTTTTTTACATCAACATACTGTTTTGCTTTTCAAAAATCTTTTTAAAAGTTTCTATCAAAGACACTTTTGAATTTTTATACTGCATATGAATACATTTTAGGCCTTTAATGAAATATTTTTGAAGTACAGCTTCTGCTAAAGTCACATTTATCGTTAATCCCAGTCTGCTGCTTGCAAGCTTTCTACTTACTTTAAGATATTTCCTAAAGTGAGTATGAAATTATGCAAAACATTCTTCAATAACATCTATCAACTGGGTGCTACTCATTCTTTATTATTACACAGCACCAGGTCAGAAATTGCACTTGGAGAGGAAAAAATGCAATTTCTGTATTGTCTTTCAAATAATGCTCTCCCTATTACAATACCCCAGGTAATGTTGGGTACGGTGAATTTGAGAAGACCTTACCTAAGCACTTTCCTGCTCTTATATAACACAGAGCTAAACTCAGCATCTGAATCTTGGATAGTGTCCTGCAACATAGCCCTGGGATTTAGCCCATGCAGTTTTACTATTATTTTATAATATATCATTAGTATTTGGTAACAGATTCTAAATGTTAATGCTTTCAAAAACCCTCTTCTCACCCTGTGAGTGAAGCTCTTATACAGGCCTGTATCCTGAAGATCGGCGTTTGCTGATTGGATATTTGAGGCAGAGTCACTGACCTGCTGACCCGGAGGAGAGTGGAGCGGCGGCTGAAGCCCCATCTGGTGCGGGATGATTGGCTGCGACTGGACCTGCTGCATGCGGATTGGCTGGTTGAGAATGGAGCTCTGGTGCAGCGAGAGCTGCTGGTGCAGAGGCGGGCTGATCTGAAAGGAGGATGGAGGAGAGGCACTCATGCTGGGCAACATCTGTGACTGGCTGAGGGTCCGGGAGAGGCTGTGGCGCGGGGGCCCGGCATAGCTCTGCAGGTCGGACAGGGGGAACGAGCCGGGGCCCAGGTAGGGAGACGAGGTCTGGGCCGGAACGCTGTACAGAGGCTGCTTCGGCACCATCATGTGGGACGGTTGGCTTGTCTGGGCACTTTTAGTTTCCACTGGATCACTGTAGTTCTGCAAAAAAACGCAGCAAAGGATCAATGGCCATGCCGAAAGTGCCTTTTAACTTTTACAGTACATAACATTCATGTTACATTTACCGATAACACTTTACTGAAGGCCATGTTCTTAGAAATCTATAAACACATTCATAATGCATTATAATGCATTCATAAAGTATTATAAACATGGCTATAAATGTTTATAAAAAGGCGTAACACTTTATAGCCATTTTTATTATGCATTATGACTGCTTTAAGAAGCTATCATCTATAATGTACAATAGACACCTTCATAATGCAGGACAAAGCATCCTTAATTCTTATACTAACCATTATAATGCATTATGAAGATATCTATAGTGCATTATAGATGAGAGCTTCATGAAGCATTCATAATACATAATGCACATGGCTATAATGTGTTACTGTACGTCTTTTGAGAAATGTTTATAATTCTTTATGAATGCATTATTATTTGTTATAAATGTGTTTATAAATTACTGAAAACATGGCTTTGAGTGTTACCCATTTATTTGTGCTGATATTCAAAGCAACTTAATTAATCTGACCCAAAGAAATTTTTCCTCATTCATGCTTAGTCCCTGCAGAACCACCCTTCACAAAGTTCTAAGAATAGTACGCCTCCATAAAGGAATGTAACTATGTAATGTGTAATGTATAATCTACAGTTAGTTGCTTACTGAATGCTTTTAACCAAAGAGATTTGCATTTTTTACAGTATGATTATGTAAGGTGGTGAAAAACTGAGTCTGAGTGGGATGAGAATAAATTCAGGAAAAAGAAAAAGTGACCTGCATAACAGATTTAATAACTTTAATGTGTGAGCTGTACACATGTCCATCAGTTCATTCATCCATCCTTCCTTTGTGCGTAAGCACTTCTCTGTACGGGACGTAAACAGCCTGGAGTCTATCCCAGGATGCACAGGGCATGAGGCAGGTGACACCCGAGATAACATGTCAGAAGAACATACATGTGGCGTGTGAGTCTGCCAATGTGTTAATTAAAGACATGCTGAGCGATTACCAGGGAGTGTGACAAATGACAAGGGGGGGCAGACCGAGGCAGGTGTGCTTGGTCTGGATCACCTTGCTGAATGGGAATGAAGCCCCCTGTCAGACACTCTAATACTGGGCAACAGAAAAAAAAGTGTTTTCTGTTCAGGTGACCTTTCCCTTTAAGCGATTG